CTGATCAGTCAATCACCAGTTCCTTCAGAAGTCCCGAGGTTTTCCCTATATTTAGAGTTGTAGAGTCTCTGGAATGTTAGGGATAATGTTCAAAGACTTTATTATGTATTTATATTTAACTCTGATTTTAACATTTCTACAACTTTAGTTCTTATTAAAGGTATGTGTTCCTTGGTCTTGATGATGCTGTTTGTTCACCAGTGTTCTCTAATTAAAACTTTGAAGCCTTCACACAGCAGCTGTAATTTCACTGATATTAATAAGACACAAGTTGACAGTGGATGTCAGATGGTTGCTTTGGATTTGAGTTAAATGCATTGGAGTGAAGGGGAAGCTACTTTGGTTTAGATATTAAAATAGACAGTCATAATGTAGTTAATTTATCCAAAGGACAACAATAATAAAGAACGAATTTGAGCTTTATCAATGTTCAGTTGTCCGATTATTCATTCAGCCATTTTCATCTCTTTATGCATTAATAGTTATTTATTCATGACATTTCTTCCTTTTTCCCCTCATCCTTAAACCTTGATTAGTAATTTGTTGGTAGATGGCACTCCAGACTGAATTATGCTTCTACCACTCACATTTAACCATCATAAGTAACTGATGCAAAATGGATCCGGCATATAAATCACACTGTTAAATGTGATTAATGTGGCTGTGTTTTCCAACAATGCCACAGAGTGCTTTACATGCACAGGCTGTAAATATCAACCTTAGCAAAAAACATAACATTAAAATTATAAACATGAATTTATAATAGGGCTTTAACCAGAACAAGAAATGGTGGTAATTAAAAGCAAATCACATAATGACCTAGCAACAAAGGTATTTTATGAGGTGTGTTTTAAATCCCCCCTTAAAGTGCTGGCCTTTGTATCGGGGTAGTAAAGATGAAGAGTGCTGAAGGTAGATAAACCTTGAAGACAAACGGAGCCTCAGAAGTTATCGTAAAAATCTTAATGTAAGCTCCACACGGATCTGCAGAGTGGAGTTTTAGTAGAACAGTTTCCTGGTTTCACCCGAGCAGAGGAAGTTGAGATAATAAACCTGAAAAAGATGAAACTCACAAAATAATCACCTGAATCTTGAGATAATCTCTCTTCCTTAATTTCTGGTGTTTACCGGTGAAGCAGGATGTTTACAGCAAGTCAAGAGAAGAAATCACTCAGCATAGATCTCCTGTAATGATTGCAGGTTGAAACAGTAGATGTACCCTGATAAATCCTCTGACACCAAAAGATCTGTCCTGTATTACTATTGAAAGGATATTAACATATTTTATTTGAATGTTTAGAATATTCAGTCAAGTTTAGACTATGTTTAGACTCTTTACTTCTTTGATTCAGTGAAGTTAAATTTTTTTCATCAGACTTCAACTAAATCCTTAGTTATCAATCCATACCTTTCTACAGTTGTCCAGCAATCTATTTATTCACCCTTCCATCTGTTTGTCCACCTATCTCTTCATCTATCAGTCTGACTCTAGGTTTGTCTATACCTTCATCACCATAATAATTCAGTCACAATTCAGTTATAATTCATAAAAGAATTTCATGTATATATGTGTGTATGTATGTGTGTGTGTATATATATATATATATATATATGTATATGTATATGTGTATATGTATATACGCATGTATGTATGTATATGTAAATATGTATGTGTGTGTGTGTGTGTATATGTATATAAACACCTGATTTCAGTGATTTCAGACAATTACTTAAATCAGGTGTTTTCTATAATGTTCAGGAAATGTTCACTCAGACTTGTTGACAGGTATGTTGGTTTACTGTTCATGAACAAGGTGCTTACATTTGTTAGGACTTTTTTGATTTTTTTAAACAAAATTTCAAAATTTATATTTTCAATTTTACTATATTATTCTTAGTAAATTTTCATAACTTTTTCAGTTTTGTGCTATTTGAACTGTGAATGTACCATTTTTTTAAATGGGAGGTCATGTAACCTTTCAAGCACATCTGTACATATAGAAATTTGTTTAATTAAAAATTATTGTAATGTAGATTTTCATTATTTTATGGTATTTGGTTGAATTTTAAAGATAAACGAAAACTGGTCCTAGCAACACTACTCTTTATATTTCCAAAACGGTCAATTTGAACCTTGTTGTATTATTTCTGCATCTGCACAATGTGTCTGCCTGTGAGGAATCTCCTTTCTCACCATAGCTTGCCATAGCTCTCTAAATCCATTCGACAAATAACCAGGAGCTATTTATACTGAACTTCAAGCTCTTTCTTTCTGTTTGACCTTTAAAACATGAATAGTTTGAATAAAGAATATATTTTTGGTTAATGGGTGTGGATTTCTAGTATGTTAGAAGGAAGTGCTAGTCTTCTACCTTGATGTTTCTACTTTAGTTTATTTTATTTTTTTCTTATCGAAGGGTCAACTTACATGTTAGGGTTAATTCTTCCATGCTGTATAAGTGCTCTCTAGTAGTCATATAATTATGAGCTTAATTATTTAAAAAGGGAGGCCACCTTGATTGAGTCCTCATCATTGAAAACAGATCTCTTGCAGTGGCAGAGATGGAATTACATACTTTTTCAAAGTAAATTGCTGCAATGTGAAATTGCTGCAATATATTAATAGCAGCTGCATAGATTCTGCTGCATATTCTGTGGTTTACTTTGCTTCTAAGAGATAAGTTCCTCATATCCGTTAGTACTTTATGTCCAGAAAATCTGCTGCAGTAATCAGAAATGCTGCAATACCATTGCTCTGACAACAGGTGATGATATTTAGACAGTGACTGCTTCTCAACATCTCCTTTATTATCTCAAAGGGAAATAAAATCTTATAGATATCACAATGGCTGGATAAAGATACTGATCGCTGTGGGTAGGAAGGATCTCCTGTTGCAATCAGTATTACAGCAAGCCTGAGGATGCCTCTGACTTTAGGCACAGTTGTATGACGGTCTCATAAAGAGGATGTTGATGGTTGTTTATAATGGACTGCATTTTATGAAGGATCCTTATTTGTACAGTTATCTCCAGAGGCTTCAGAACTGTCCCCGGAAAAGTCAGCAGCCTTGATTAGACTACTCAGCTAAATAGGTGCTTGGTCAATGTGGAACATTAATGTAAACACAGAAAAAAATAAATCTCATCATTGCAGAATACCCAAGTTCACTTGGCTAGGGCTTTTATCAGGGATTATACGGCTATAGAGATATGAGCTAAACCGATCCTCTTGTTACCATGTATGTTCATCCCTGCCATTAGAAACCAACAATCCCTCCAACCAATTGTTCTTTGTTCCACCATCAATCCATTTCTGCTTAACTGAGGCAAAGGGTCCAAGACATAAACCCACCTCCTTCCACCCATAGAGACACATTTCTTTCCCCTCAAGGAGGGAAATTGCCAAGGAATAAATATAGTCCCTTGGTTTCCTCATGGGTTTTTTCACCCCCAATGGGACCTGCCTGGATACAAGCAGCTGTACCCTTTTCCTCCATCCCAGCCTTGGTTAGATTTAAGTTGAGGAGCTCTGCCACTTGCCTGTATCTTGGATCTTGCTCTTAAGGCATAATCCATATATATCAGGACCACAGGTCAGAAGGTGGATGAACCGGTAAATCAGGAGTTTTGCTTATCGTCTCAACTCCTTCTTCACCTCCACAGATCAGAGCACTACACACATCACTGCAGATTAAGCCCCAATCTTTGCTTCATTCTGTCATTACTCCTGAAGAAGACGCATAATACTTTCAATTATACGGCTTGAGGCATTCATTGAACACCAAGCCATACTGTAGGTAGCAGTCCACCCTTTTCTGGTTATGAACATTGAAAAAAAGGAATTGACTCTGATTCCAGCAGCTTTATAATGACTTTTTGGTGTGCTGCCGTATTTCTAAACTCCATTACATATCATTAAAGATATCTAATTTTGTAATAAAATACACACACAAATAATCATTACCCCTTTTCTTCCTCTTGGCCAGTATCAGACATGATCTTTTTTGTCCTTTCCATCTTAGTGTTTCTTACCTAACTCGTCATCTACAGGTTTTATGATAGAGCTGGAATGAAACATTGGGTAAAGGAGGGGCAGAAACCATTTTAAAATGCCAGGGGACTTGATTTAGTTCAACCACCAGGAGAATACTGGCCAGATGGTGAGTTTAGGAAGCCTGAAATCCCAGCACCTGGCTAAGTGTTTGTCATTGCATTAATCAACAACATTGCCAGCTCCCTGCATATACATTATGCTTATTTTCTGCTATGTGGAGGTGATGAAAATCTTATAAATCCTAGAAATAATTGCCTTAAGATGTCTTTATTTCCCTCTGGACACAAAACAAATGCATTTACAGGCTGGAAAATTGTTCTATGATTTTCCTTTTTTTCTATTTAAGTTAAAATGACTTCTCCTGTTGTCGAGGGCACTTTCTAATTCGCTAACTTAGTTGGACAGTTTTTATATTAGTTATAGACCACTTCATTGCTTTATTCACTGGGGAAAAAAACAGGAAGAGCGCGACTAAGAGGAATTTTGAAACTTGTGAAGTGTCAGATAATGTACTTGAATACCCTCAGATAATTTATGAATACATTCAAATTTTTTTTACAGCATTTTGTCCTCGTGTTTTTTTTTTTCCTGTGCTGACACTAAACCATATTGCCTCCATTTTCCCCTCAGCAGCATGAGCTATTTTCTATAAGCATAATGAAGCTCCTGACGCCTGAATAATTCTCCAGAATTTCCTTTTAATGCTTGAGCATGTTATTGTATAATTGATGCTGTAAGGAGATAAACTGCCAACTTCTTCATTTAGGTGCCTCTGGCAGACAAACGTGGAGAGGTTTCACTTGATTTGTTAGTTTTAAAGTATAGTGATTCATAGCTGAGGAGAGCAAAGGCCTGAGGTAATCATGAACAGTGCTGGCTCACTGGCAGCAGATGGTTGATGGTTGTACAGATGATTGGCATTTTCTTCTTTTTCTTCTTTTTGCAGTCTTCGCTAAGAGGAGCAAATTTGACTGTATTCGGCTGCCTTAATCATGGAATGCCTCTCTTCCTGAGAGAAAATTCGTCACTGAAATGTGAATCAGGTGTGTTGGAATTACTGTACCTGTGATAAAATAAAGTTGACAGATTCTGGGTCCCCACAGTTTGCATGTCATAGTATAGAGTATAGATATCCAAGAACAGAAAAAAAATCTATAAATCTGTAAAGTCCATCCATCCATCCATCCATCCATCCATCCATCCATCCATCCATCCATCCATCCATCCATCCATCCATCCATCCATCCATCCATCCATCCATCCATCCATCCATTTCAGTAATAGAAACTGAATTAAATCCCTTTCATTTTTCTCTTTTTTTCAGAATCTGTTGCTGGGTTTTTCCTCTCTGTCAACATCTCCTCTAACGTTACCAAACTCAGAATTCCCTACCCACAAACAGGAACCTGGTACCTCAGTCTGCGCTCTTTATGCGCCACTGTACACGGGTAAGATGGCAATGGTCCTTAGCTGCAGGTATATTAATTCAGCCAGATGTAAAATATAATTTATTTACAGAGATGGTTAGATGAATTTAGATGTGCTATTTCCTTTCTTGTCATTACATACTGTAAAGCAGGGCATACACTGTGCGATATTTTCAATCGTTTTACGCCGCTACAACTCAAACTGTATGATAAAACCGCAGGGTTTAAAAGTTCACAGCCCACGATGAATGTTCTTACACTGTGCGGCCAGATGCTCTGATGCAACCTTATGACGGCCGACCGACTATAGGTTTGATTTTCTCCGGACCTTACAAATCCTGATTGGGAGGTGGTCGTGAAAGGCTGATTGCCCCTCGTTACCCTCTGTGTACTACATGAAGCACGATGCACGATCAGGCTGAAAGTCGGCCAGATCGAAAAATTCTCGCAAGACTGGAGAATCGGCTCGAAAAGGGCAACAGATTGTACAGTGTATGCCCGGCTTTAGAAAATGATACATTCTTTAAATAGCTGTAGAAGATTTTCACGATGTTTTGGAAAGACCCGCCCTCTTCCCTCCAAAAAAAAAAAAAAAAAAATGCACATGTACCACCCTGTATCCACTCCCGGGAGGGAATGCCTTTTAAACCTTTGTGAGAGCATTCATGAGTCCATTTCTCCTTGTACATGCTCTGTTTATAAGTTGCTGTTTGCATCGCTCATGCAAGCTTACTTTCAAAAGGAAGATTTCTAAATTTTTCCACTATTTCATGCTCACTATTGGTAAGTTGAAATGCGGACGAGCACGTAGGACGGCCTTAAGTAAACATATCACCAGAATGATTTACAATTAGGCGATCAACCGGCTGATCAACCCGGAATAAGAACATCCTCCACCATACCTTTAAGGATCTTGCCTGGTACTAAAGTTTAGGTTAGCAAGCAGACTGGAAAAAAACTGGTCTGAATGGCGTTGTAAATATATTAAAATGGTTCTTTAGAATATATAAATAAACAGGATTGAGATATCTATCATCTGTTCCCACTCTTAGCGGTGGATAAAAATATTTCCCAAAATATCTAACAGGTCTTTACAGTGGAAAGGAGTCTGTAAAGTGCACTCTAAGAAGGATTCATCCAGAAAGTATAGAAAAAAAAGAAAGAAAAGAAAGTGGATTTACAAGCAAATATTAATTGAAACGAGCTGGTTAACTGTGTCTTATAAATTTTTGACGTTCTCATAATCAGTTCACAGCCTTGGTCCCAACACCCCATAGCAGCATCACAGAGACGCTGTTTGCTCTTCTCTGCTGGAAGACGATCACAACACAGGATGTAGAGTTTATTTATAGAACGTTTTCAAACAATCGCTACCTTGTTAAACAAATTTAATAATTTAGCACCGGGATATGGAAACCAAGCTCTTCTCCCATCTGTCGTCCAGCAGTTCAGTTTATTATCTAGATGCAAGTGACATCTAAGAGTAACTCTATTTTCTATATTGAGAAATGTAAACATAATTGATGATTCAAACAAGTAGGTATATTTCTTTCTCCCTAAAAGTATTATAAATAATTTTATTGCCTATTTTGTTATAGGTTACATTTCAGTATTAATTATGTAGACTGCAACTTTACCTGGCACAATAACATATAAGCAGACCAAAGCTGTCAGCATATTGTGCTTTCTGTAAAGGTCACAGCTCTTATCGTTTGTGGACTAGATTACGTCTTGTGTTCACTCCAACAGTTTGTGCTCTACAGATGAATTCACACATTTCTTCTCAGAGTTTATTTTAAGTCCATGTAAGAGATGTCACTGAGAAAATTTTGGACAAATAAAGCTATAAAGTCATCCAATTAAAATATATTTCTAAGTTTTTTAGTGTTGGGGATTCAGCAGATTGATTCATTTTACAGAATGTTACATTATTAATGAATGTGAACAAAATTGAATTAAATGCTGTTTTTTGCAGGACCGACCAGGGTTTCCAATTGAATATGAATCACAGATAATAACAGATGGTGTGGGACATGTACTCATCCTCATTTGAAAGCTTAACTAAGGTTTGAAAATGAAGGTTGCATGCACATAGCTGTGTGTTACATTTCACACTTTAAAAGATGCAAAATCAGCCCAGGCTCACTTCAGAAGAAAACCGCAAGTGTAATGGGTTGGTCGTCATTACATGTACTTTTATATTTAAATGCAAATCAAAAGGAGGTCAGTTAAAGCTTTTATGAACAGGAAGAAAAAATATCTGAACGTGCTTCAGTCTCGGTTAAAAGTTGTGAGAAAGATAAATCATGGTGAGATATAACTAGTCCGTTTAAAGGCAGGCAGAGCTATTGGATCTCTATATTTTAAATAATATATACAAAAATATTTAAAGAGTCTTAATAGTGTGCAGGTTGTGTTGCTGCATTGTTTAAAACCATGATATTTTGCAGAAGAAAATGTTTTATTAAGTAAAATATCCCTATTGTTTCCAAGACATGCTAGGTAAGATGGTTGTAAAAGCAAACAAACAGCTGTAGCAAAATGTGAGGGTTTACAGTAGATTATAATGTATTAGATTGTTATTCTGCAGAACATAAAGATAGATCTATGGTTCAAAATAGTTTATTTAATCCAACATTTTAAATTATGTGTTATGAAAGAGAACCTGGAAAAGAAAACCACATCCAGGAGAGGAGAAGTAGAGCGTAAAGAAATCTGAAGTTATATGTAAAAAATCTGTTTTCTCTTCTCCCTAGGTTTGAAGGATGCACCAATGTAACTGCACTGGTATATATGCGTGCTTATCTGACTCCATGCATCAATGATTGTGGGACATATGGACAGTGCAAGCTCCTACGAACCAACAACTACCTTTATGCTGCATGTGAATGCAAAGCAGGTAACCATTTTTATTTAAGAGCCATTGTGAATCAGAGCATCTCTGTTTGCCAGACTGACTTTTTTTGCTTTTTGCTCCATTTCACTTGTTTTTATTTTACTCAGAATCAGAATGAGAATCAAGTTTATTGCCAAGTAGGTTTGCACTTACAAGGAATTTGACTTGATGTTGATTGTGCAGACAAATTAGATTTATATACAGAATACAGAATCTATAGCTATATACATTATAAAACATATACTACACTATATACAATATTTAGTATATAGCTATATACTATATACACAGTAGACTGTGCTATAATGTCACGCAGGACGACTGGAGATGCTACGTTCATGTAAGATGCTATGGTGGTCTAAGCTCGCTGTAAGCTCATTTTAGGTTTAGTCGTCTAACAATGTCTTCCTTTGATTTTATTCTTATTTCCAACTCAGTCAGCAGCAAACTGATTACAGCGTGCTGTTTTAGCACAAGTGGGAAAATAATTAACCAATATCTTATCCGATAAATCTCTTCTTTATTTAATATTTATCAGTAAATTATAAGGAGATGCAGGACCATTAATTATTTAATTGATTTTAGATTAAAGGAAAGACACAAAAACTACACAAGGTACAACATACAGCAATTAATATTGGATTAATTGTGAAATATGTCGAATTTAAGAAATAGAAAACAAATGGGGTTGGACAAGTCATTATCCTGAAGATAACTAACAGAAGTGCAATTAAAAAGTAGGGACCACTGTCCACTAGGCCTTGTATTAATTCTTTTCACATAGGCTGTTCAGACAACAGTAAAATGCATTCTTAATTACAAACAGCTTTTCAATAAAAGATGAGCTTATGAAGCCAAACAAAGACTGTCCTCAGAGGCTTTTTTTTAATCCTGCGTTTGATCTTGTTTTATCCGAGCCCATTTCTCTTCTGTTGAATCCATTGTCATACTTAATGTGTGCCTTTGCTTCCTGGCAGAGCTACAGCAATCACCACTTGCCCTCGGCTTGTGTTAACTCAGCAAAACCTAAGTTAAACAGTGCTCTAAAAGTGTTGTACTTACCAAACTTTTTTTTTTATGTTGTTCCCTAGACATGGGCGATATACTGTAGAAATATTAATTATCACAATATTCCTGCTACAAAGCAGTATCTCAATATTTATCACAATACCTCTGCCAATAAACAATACAGTTAGGATGCTATCTTGGAGAGGGAGTAGAAAGTGAAAACTCTTTATATTCAATTTTATTCTTTTTCAAAATACGACATATAACCCAAACCAAATTCTTTTAAACACTATTAGAATTTATACATTAAAGAATACAAAAATATAGATATACTTCTCAAGTAGCCATACAGTATATTGACATGTCCAAAAAATCCATTTGTAATTCTGTGTAGCAGGTCAAGTATGCATTCCTATAAGCACAAAGCAAGCAGAATTCTTAGGTTATAATCTAATCTAAGAAAATTGCTGCCACCATGTACTGTCTGGTAGGCCACACATATTGTCTTTGTTATTGGATCTAAAGCTTATGCTTATCACTGATGTTGTAATTTTCTGTTATTCCGTGTAATGTTGAAATTGTGTACTGCTCTACACTATTACTATTACATAGTATTTTTTTGTAGTTTGCCTTTTTATACATCTTCTGTGCCTCTGATAAATTACTACTGATAAAATAAAATCCAGTGCGTTAATTGCCTTTAGAAGTCACCTAACTAGAAAATAGTCTGACATTGAGTCATTTAATCTGATCATATATACAGCTGTTCTATAAAGGTCTCAGAGGTTTGGTAGATAAATACCAAATTTAATTTGGTATATTGTTGCAAGAACAACATCTGATAGGTCGGGGATAACCCTGCATAGACGTTAAATGCAGGGTTAGATTAAAAAAATTATATTCCAAGCTAAGCTGAAAATATAAAATATATCTTTTACATCATCTGGAAATACAAGAAGACATTGGATATGATTTTGTCAAATAAAGAGCATAAAAACAAATAAAACGATAATTTCCATATTTCTATTAGTAAAAAAAAAAAACATTTTCCTTCTGCATTTGAATCAAACAATGATTTAGATGCATAATGTTGGTCTACTCCAATGAAATACATAGAGGTTTGTCTTATTTTGATAAAATGTTGAAAAACCTTTTTTAGCTTAAAACAGACAGAAAAACAAGCAAAAAAGTGCTGATTTTTAGAATTGTTTTATTTAGTATGTCTGTTTATTATTATCTATCTTAGCAAAGCTGAGGTAATTCACAATAGGAGGGAGTTCACTCCAGGAGAATCTATTGTACTTGATAAAAAACCTCACCCAATTCTGATATTACTAAAAAAAGAGCTGCTGCTGCTCATCGTGTTTTTGTCAAGACATACATTTTTTATACCTTTTAAGAGATATGCAAAATTCAAATGAGAATATTATGAAACGATCCGTTTCATCTTCCATTCAAATTCCTTATCTCTCATCCACAAACGGATTTAAAAATACTTTTTCAAAGTTCATATAGAGTGCAGCACAACTTAACGATAGAGAGCCTCTTTAGATCTCTCCTTCCTGCAGTCAGGCTACAGCTCTGACAGTGTGTTTGTCTAATAGGCTGGAATGGCTGGGGCTGTACCGACAACTCTGAAGCCTACTCTTACAGCTTCCAGCTCCTCTCCACCCTCCTGCTCTGTCTCAGCAACCTGATGTTCGTTCCACCTGTGGCCATCGCTATTCGAAGCCAATACCTGCTGGAGGCTTCAGTCTACATCTTCACCATGTTCTTCTCCACGGTGAGTCCCTTCTAAATGATTAAACTGATGACTAAAATGAATTTGAAACCAATGTGTTTGATCTATAGAGTATAAAAATACATCCTTTTTCTGTTCTCACGGCCTGATTTCTAGCATGGTGGATGTTACAAAACTATTTCTATTTGCTTGACATAAAGATATTGAGAGATGGGGTGTTCTTGTAATAAAGTTTTATGATACTTGTTCTTACAACATGTGCTCTAAAATGCTTTCTAACCCACAAAATCCTTGTGTTATGATGAAAAATTCCAAATAGGTCATGCAAGATATATAGGTAATGAAGAGAATTGTGGACCTCCGTTAGTCTAGTACAACTTCCAGATACCCAAACATGTCACTGGAAATTTGAAGCATTTAGATGGTATTATTAGCAGCATGAGAATGTTTAGTTGTCATACCATTCAGAATAAAGGCAAGGCAAATTTATCTGTATAGCACAATTCAGTACAAAGACAATGCAAAGTGCTTTACATGATTAAAATACAGGAAGATAAAACAGATTCAAAGCAAGTAGGAAAAAAAATAAAATAAAAAATGCACAAACAAAAAAGAAAATGTGTTTTAGTTGAACTGTTTAACTAGAACAGTCAAAGGCAATCCTAAACAAATGTGTTTTTAGTCTTGATTTAAAGGAACTCAGGCTTTCTGCTCTTTTACAGTTTTCTGGAAGTTTGTTCCAGATAAGTGGAGCATAGGAACTAAATGCTGCTTCTCCATGTTTAGTTCTGGTTCTAGGTATGCAGAGCAGGCTGGAGCCAGAAGACCTGAGTGGTCTGGAGGGTTGATACACTGATAGCAAGTCTGTGATGTATTTAGGTGGTAAGCCATTCAGAGATTTATAGACTAACAGAACTATTTTAAATTCTCTGAGATACAGGGAGCCAGTGTAAGGACTTTAGAACTGTGGTGATGTGCTCTACTTTCTTAGTCTTAGTGAGGACACGGCAGCTATATAAATATAGCCCATTGTTTGTTTGAAGGGAAAATGACCTGAGAAAACCCGATGAACTGTGAAGCAGTTGGCAGCATCATGTTGTGGGTGTTTTTAATGCAGGAAGGACTTGAGTCAGACTCAGACTCAGACATACTTTAAAAATCCCAGAGGGAGTTACTTTTGTTAAACGCTCCAGAAATATAAACACACACACACACACACACACACATACATACATATATATATATATATAGTGAAACCAGACAAAATAAGGTTACATATTTAAGTAACCATAAATATGAAATGCCTCCTCCAACTTTCATTGAGTTCATTGAGTAAAATAACAAGATGTTCATTTTTAAACAATAAATTTAACCTTCTGGTTTGAATTGTATTTACTGCATTCTATTTAAATCTGATAACCAGGAAGCTTCATTGCTTATTTATATTCAACCATTTTTTAACAACACCTAAGAAGCAAAGTCATTTGATGTCAGTGTGGAGATTAAACTCATCATGATAGAATGTGCTCTTAGGATGTTTGTGTTTGGATGTACATAATCATGATGCATGCAGGTAATTTCACACAGTTCCTGACGAAGGACTCATGCTGCTTAACTGATTGACGCCAAATGGTAGTCTGGAACAAAGGCAGTGATTACAACTATGTTTTTCAAGCGCTTATGGTGGTAAAGCAAACATAAATTGAAGTCAGAAAAGTTTTTTTTTTTAATTAAGGCTAAATTTTAGCAGTTTAGTATCCAGGTTGTGCCCATAAAAATGTACAAACTGCTTATTCTGCAATTGACTGTTTTGAGCATCTGGTACCCTAGCTGCTAACAAAGGAATGCCTGGGCTGAGCATTAATAACAGTATTCTAAGCAAGGACCCTGCTAGAGAAGCATGGCAGGTTTCAATTATCTTGGTAGGATGCATACTAAAGTTAACTGCTGTTACAGCATTGTTTGGAGTCAGCCATGGTACCGAAGCACAAGTTCCATATAGGAAAGAAAAATCAGAGACGAGAGCAGCCCATAGAAAGTACTCCACAGGAACGACACCCCTTTCAGAGACATAGACAGGTATGGGGCTTTGCAGGCTAACAAAAGAAGCCAAACGACACCCATTCGAAGGGGTGGACCCGTTTGTCCGTTACAATTTGCATGTTTTCTAAACAAAAACATGGGCTTGTTGGGCTACTGTACATAGCCTCAAACTCAATGCTATTTCTGACATTTTAAACTGAAAAAGCTTCCCGGATGGGAAGTGAAACGTCTTCAAACTTGGAAACAAAGTCCAGTGGATTGTTTTTTTACCTTTTTTGGAACTCCTCAGGAAGACCGGTTCCTCACTCTGTCAGCACTTCAGAACCCCAGGCAGTCTTCTATAGATCTGCAATCAAAGTTTGCTGGATGTCCGATGGCTCTCTAATAGACTGAACACACCTGTTCTCATAGAACATTTTCTTTTAAAATCCATCTGTTTAAATAAAACATAATATGGCTGGGTAATTAATCAATATTAATATATATGTTGCGATGGACACCTCATCAATATCAATATAAAATATGTCTGATGAAACTTTCAGTAATTCCCCTGACCTCTGATCCAGAAACAATGCGTTATTCTGAGCATAGGCAGGGGAAAGGCTTTTGTCTCTAAACCTCTTAAAGCAAAAAATCTAAATACAGTTGCTGGCCAAGTAGTTCCATATTTAAAGGTCAAAGGTTATGTTTAAGTACACTTAAGGTTACACTTTGATTTGGGGTTTTGTCCCCTGCTCCTCATTTCAAATAATTAAATAATCAATAATCATCAGTATTGTCTAATTTGAAAGGCTTATATCATGATGCAGTTTTTAGCTGTATCGCACAGCCCTACATGTTATCTATAGAGTATTTTATTTTCAAATTGTTTGGTCAAGCATTTTTTTATTCTAAAAGTCTTTCTGTATGGGTCAGGAAGATTTCCATTTTCAGCTTCAAATCAATTTTATGTACTGCAGCAAACAGATGAGTCTTTCTGAGGTCAGTAGAGTGGCCATCCAGAGCAGATTGTACTGTGCTGAAATATACTTGGGGTTCTCAGTCTCACTTTTAAGGTAAAATAAACGCTGTTAAGCCCCAAATTATTTTCTCCCACTGGCTCATTTTGAGTTAAAATTAATTGAGCCAAAATGTTTTATTTTCTAAAATGAGACAAGCATCCCCCAAAGGTAATGAAACACTGAAAAAATTGATAGAAACCTCACCTCATAAAAGTATTTACGTATTTTAAATAATTTAATGCTGTCACCACACAGTTTGATGTATTTTGTTCAGATAGTTTGCGGTAGACCAATAAGAAATAATAAATGTCAGTATAATTCTCCATATTTAACTTATTGAATAGAGAATCCTCAGACACTCGCCTTGAGTTCAAAGATCTTTAGAGAGTAGGATGTACAAGTTATAACAGTTGATAGTCGAACCAGATAAACTTAAAAAAAAAAAAAAAAAATCGTGAATGAATCCTCTTTTATTGTACATCCCATTGTCCCGGTTCAAAGACACCATCATCTTGGTATAAACATCGAAACAGCAAAACAACTTATCCTTGAAGGCATTCAAGGATAAGTTCCTTCTTATCTCAGTAGCAGATATCTCAACTGTATTGAAAAGGTCAGCTAGTGCCGAATCGGACTTTATTCTTATGATTGAATGATACAAAATATCTCATAATTTCCCTCCTGTTTTATCAAGAATAATTGTCTTATGATCCCTTCACGTGCAACATGACCTCCCTAGAGCAGATCAGTGTGTTTTTGTACAGTGTGTATTATGGGAGGAGGTGACCCGATCCCCCTGCTGTCCTTTGGTGATGACTCTATTGGACTGTTCATCATAGATGAATTACATGTTGGAGGAGGACATGTAGAAAAGAAAAAAAAAAGTCTTATGAGGAGTCTGAAAAAAAAATCTCTTACATCTTCATAAAGCCGCCCTATTTCACTTCTTTTCAATTTTCATAATAAGGTTTACAGTGAAATCAGTCATGCATCCTGTGTCTTTAAATGTCTGTCATCTTATCATGCAGGATCGGTCTTTTGTTCATAAGGATGTTTTGTGACCAGGACATATTGTGTAACAGAAATGTATGGTGTGTGTAATACTGCTGAGACCTGGTAAAATGCAGGATGTAAAAAAAAAAACCCCTTTGAAAATAAGAAATATAATCAACATTAAGATCTTGAGCACAATTACACCATTACATAACCCTTGTCCATGGCATCCCTTAATGATGTCAGGTTCACAACGTCATGTGTAATAACACCTCCATCGGCATCATTTAGAGGTATAAATAAACAGCACAATATGCATACCACCATTACCAGCCGGGAGCTGATGAAGACCCATTCGGTTTCTATGGGGACTTCTCTGACACCTCTTATTTACTTCTTGCAAAGTTCATATTAGTTATAGCAGTAGTCATGTTTTTTACTCCCAGCCCCAGCTTCTTCAGTCCAATCCAAGGGAACAGACTTGACTTTCTGGCCTGTGGCCCACTGTTGATGGTTTTTAGTAAAAACCTTTCCAAAAACTAAATCATATGGTGCATGCAGCCCTCTCTTCATGGGCTGTTACAACATAACAGTCAGTCATCAGAACCTTTTCACAGCTGCCAGTCCAATCACTGGGAAGTGATACACAGATGTTATGTCCCATATTTGGAACAGTGAAATAAGGTTTGTGTGCTGCTGCTAGAGGAGCTCGACATGGAATGAAGGGCTCAATGAGAGTTGGAGACTTCACCTAGGTATTGAGCATCTTTAGGCAAAGCTGTTAGCACTTACATTATTGTAGACAGAAAGGTGGACTGGACAAAAAGCGTGTTTTTATTTTCTCCTGTATCAAATTAATTTACTTCTTTTTCTTTGCTTGTTCATGAGTTAGCAGGACAAGTCACTCTACAACTTACTTTGGAGTTCCATTTATTAACTACTAACTTATTTTGGTTTTCATGTGTGAAGTGACAAAATGAAAAATGGCATTCCATGTTTTTACAAAAAAAGAATTGCAGTTCTGGCTTTTTTTTTTTAAGTATTCCAACTATGATAATCCTACACAAATTCATGCAGCAAGTTAGTTCTGAAATTCAACTAGATAAAAGCCTCAGTTGTGTTAGGGGACATGCTAGTAAACAAACAGCATAATTTCAGAACAATGAACTCCGCAGACAGATGGAAGATATGTAAATTCTATAGGAAGGTTTGTTATAGTATAGGACAACTTCCGAATTACCAAGGAGCGGCTGTCCTAGAATTGGCCATAAGGCCCTTTGTTAGTCTGAAGAGTTTCAGAGATGCACAGCTTCGACAAAAACATCTATGGACTCAAATGTTAGTCATGCTGCATGACTGAGAGGAGCCCATCCAACAGAATGAGTCATGCACTCTACAAAACAAATGATAATGGAAGAGTAAAAAAGGAAGAAGATGGCTTTTGTGCACAGAATACCAAGCCACGTAGACATCAACTCAAGCAGGTGAAAAAATGAACTAAAATACAGTTTCTAAATGGTGGGAAATTATTGCTTAAAATTTGTGATTTGTGGTTCTACAAAGTACTAACTTTTAGTTACCTGATACAAAGGCATACCATTTTTTTCAGATTTTATCTGTAAAGATAGTTTGAAATAGTTTTTATTTGTAATATTTTGATTCACTTCCTCATGAAGCACGACTTTTGTTAGTTTGTCACATTGATTCCCTGCCAGATGCATTTAAGTTTATGATTTTACATGACAAAATTGTATACAACTGTTGAAGAAGAACACTTTTAAATAGTTCTGTAAAGTTTCCAACCGAAGGGTTTCTTTTTAGAATTGGAAAGTAATCCAATTATACCATTCAAAACCTTTCAAACAAGGTTAAAAAACCCATTTGATTAGGGTTGGCTTCAACTTTTTTTTAAACTAATCAAAATATTGTTGATTTCATTCTGTTTTATATTTTCTGTTTTATTCTGTCTATTTTTTACTCACTTTTATTTATCATTTCACTGCAATGCACTTTGTTGTCTTTTCCTATATTTTTTTCATGTAATGCAGTTTGAATATTTGGTTGCTAAGATGTGCTAAAACAAAGAAATAAGCCTTTTCTTGCAATGTTGATACTCTTAAGAAATTAATCTCAAAAGCTGTGAAATTACAGTAAAAGCTCCTCACAAAAATGTAAGTGTCGCACATAACTTAACAGGGCTTCTAAAAAAGTTGTTTTTCAAATTACCTTTAGAGAACTGTTGATTTCTTTATCATCCTGTGAAAATTGAGTGTGCAAATTAAATGTTGGGTCTATAAAGAGAAATAAAATACATCCATCTCTGATGTCATGCTCTTTAAACTGCACTGAAAACATAAATCAAAAGCCAGCTGTAATGACTGCCTTTTTCCTTCCTGCAGTTTTACCATGCATGTGACCAACCTGGTATTGTGGTGTTTTGCATCATGGAGTACGACGTCCTGCAGTTTTGTGACTTCCTTGGGTCACTTATGTCAGTGTGGGTCACAGTCATTGCCATGGCAAGGCTAAAATCTATCATCAAACAGGTATGTTTTACTCTATTTCAATTTATCAGTGATTGTAACAAACTAATTGCATGGGGAAACAGCTTCTCATTAAACAATTACAGTAACACATTTTTTAAATTATAATATATACATGTACTGAACATGCTATCAAATTGGGAAGTTTGTTTTTGCTATAACATAACCAGATCTCTATTAAAGATACATCCCAGTATTATTATTATTTTTTTTTTTGATAGAATGATTTATACATATTTTTAAAGCAATTTGATTAAACTGAAGTGAGATGACATGGGCTGAATACCCCGGCTCAATTAGAAGTCAATAATGGCATATTTAGTTTTTTTTCTTTTTGTTTTATTTTTACTCACTCAATTTTTAAGGAGTGCATTTAAAAAAAAAATTATACATCCATCAAAATCATTTCTCAAGTAGTCTCAACACAGTTAACAAGTCTTAAGTTCACTACAGTCCATACATAAACTGGATGACTACAATACTCTTGGTAATCTTAACATTTTATCCACCTCATATAGCCTCATAAGAAAAAAAGTTTAAAAAATCCCAAACAAATTCCTTCCTTACTTATTTCTTTAAATTAAGAATTCTTAGAGTCTAAATTTGTACAAACAGACAAAGTTAGTTGTCATATACCACTATTATTGATGGGAAGCTTGGCTCTTCAACGAGTGGCTCCCAAACAACTATATATTAATTATTACCTGTAACCATCTTATTTTAACTTAAGTTGGCAAATACTAATGTTAAAAATAGATTGATTTGCATTCACTGTTTTAATTGGAAGGTTTATACTTGCCTAATTGTATGTATTTGTTCTGTTATGAAAGAAGCTACTTGCTTTTTTTTGTAATAATTTTTATTTTTTGTTTCATTTTATTTAACGCAAAAACAGATGAAAGAATCACTGCATAAAGATTAATTGAATAGAAACAAGACAGAAACAGAAGCAAAATCTTCCAGACTATCAAGTCTATCCCCCTCTCTGTTTTCGCATAGTTGTACGACTTCATATTCTATGCTGTCATTCAAAACAGAGTGGAGTGACTGAGAAATGAACATTAAAATTTCAAAAAGTGGGGAGTCTGTTCTCAGAGCATAACCCACCATTAACCATGATAGAGTTACAAACCCAGAAATGTTGACCAGTTTAACTGTTTGGTATAGAAAGCACCCTTTGACCCAGGTGATTGGTTTTCTTTGTTCGTCGTTGCAAGCTTAATCGCATAATATCTTTCAGCAATAAGCAGTATCTTTAATACAAAATGTTTTTCAAAGATATGCGTTTGAATATCCGAGGTGTTTTTGCTCCTATAATTAATATAAAAATCTGACCCAACAGGATGTTGCATTAAATGGGCTCTGGGTATTATTAACAGACAGGGCACACAATTACAAAAATGACTCTGGTACCATAAATTGCTCTAAGACCGGTAAAACCTTCATAAGTGAAAAACCATAAAAGGCCATTTATTACCCTGTAATCAGCAAACTAAAAATGTAGAAAAACAGTTTTAACTTCTTCCATCAATCAGCACTGCTTCTACTCCTCCAAAGCCTGTCCATCAACCGGATATTAACTGTAGCAGTTTTTTTGAAATATTGTGAAAGTGATTATGTGATATCATCAGCAGCATCAGACAACCTTTAGTGCAATTCTGTCAGAGTAACATGACAGGGCAAGACAAGTCTATATGTATAGCAATATCCAGAAGAGTTCAAGGGTTTAAACAAAAATCACACAGATAAAAGACTCTCACTAAAAATGGGAAATACAGTTATCACATTAAAACAAACATTACATTGTAAAAAATATATATATAGAATGCCCCATTTATAGCAAATAACTAGATAAGACAGGATCAAAATGATCAGATTACATTGAACTTAACCCTTTCGTAGATTTAACAGTAAACATTAATATTTCTAGTCCTTATTTAAAAGAAGCAACAATCTTTGCAGATCTCATGTTTTCTGAGGTTTGTTCCAGAACAGAGCAGCCTAGAAACTAAATAGTTCCTCCTAATGTTTATTTGACACACACAGACAGGGATAGGGAACATTTCATCCAACGTCCCCAAGTGGCTTCATTTTAATAAATACCTTTTTTCTTGTAAATTTTTAACCTTTCATTCATTCTTAAATATAAATAAGAAATACTATTTGCTTCAGTTTTATGGTAAAATAGCTACAGTATACAATATAACAAAATCCTTTTTATGTTGGGGAAATAAAAACTCAAAGGTTGCTGATCCCTGCTTTACAGGGTTGATTTTATATGTCTTTGGTTTTAGCACTGCTTAATGAGTGCATTTTGATTCTTTTTTCTGCTGATGCTTTATGTATTTTCCCTTCGTATAACAAAAAGGCATAAAATAGTCTTAATACTTTTTATTCAAAAAAGAAAAAACATAAATGTTCTGACTGCCTTCACACATTTAATTGTTCTAGTATACATTTTTATGAAGCTCTAGCGGAAGTTCAATTGAAGAAACTCTGGCTTACCTCCATCCAATCAGAAGCTGATCCGTCTCCGAAGCGAGCTAATCAGCTTCGAACTACTCCACCATGAAGCCCAATCAGCGTCCTGCTTTCACTTTATAAACTCTCCAAATCCTCCTCCCAGTCCCGCTATCCTGCAAGCACTATGTCGGATTTCGACTCAGATGACAATTCACCCACCTCCATCCCCTTCTCCGCCATCGCAGCTGGATCGTCCTCATGACACGACTTCACCTCAACCTCATCAGAGGGTATTAATCCCAGTTGTCACCATCCCTCGCCTCACTGCATTGGTCCGGCAGAAGACCACCATGTTGAGCCCGGTTCTGCCAGAGGTTTCTTCCCAAAGGGGAGTTTTTCCTCTCCACTGTCGCTTCATGCTTGCTCATCATGGACAGTTCACAGTTCCTGCATCACCAAGCAGGACCTCATATCCCGAGTCTCCTAGTGAAGCCCCGGCGTCAGCTCCCTCAGTCTCCTAGTCCCTCATTCTGCTCAGCAGATCACCTCGTCAACCAGCTCAATTGAACCACCATCAGTTTCAGGCCAGGGGGAACATCCCTATTCTCATTCATCAAATCATGCATGTCAAGCATAAATCAGCATGAATGTTCCTGCCGAGGTCTGAGCGCCAAAGACTATACCTTCTATCAATAAAACTCTTCTAATTATCCTTTTCTCTGTGTGAGTTTTTCAGATTGAAATAATCATATCATACAACAAGCAAATAAAATAAGAAAATCAGTAGTTTTTTATTTATTTATTTTTTTACAGTGTCCTGTCTGGCAATGTGGCAATAAGAATAATTGTCTTGATGCCAAAAAGAGCCCAACAGATTTTACTTTCACAAGTGTGGCAGTATGGCAATTGCCATATTGCTCCACTTGTTTCATGCATATAAATTGCTTTGTTATAATTATGCAGGGAGTTTTACAGTTTATATTGACACTGCAATGTAAATAGAGCAGAAAAACAGAAGAACAAAAAGGAAAAAAAAGAGAAAAGATGAAAGAAACAAGAGATAGAAAGGAGACAATGACAAAACATTTTCAATCTGTAGTTTTTTAAGTTGAACTTTTATACACTTTTATAAACTTTTTACACAACAAAATAATTTTTTATCATATTTGTTTGATAATTAAAATGTACTCTCTTATAGCCATCTAATGATAAGCATTAATAAAAAGAAATGTATGCATCATAAAATCAAATAAAAACAATCTTCGCTTTTATGATTTTCAAAATTATATAAATCTCTTTTTATATGTATTTTGCATTGTGATTGAGCAGATACATCAAACAACATGTTAACTGAATACAGCAGGTTTCCTTTTGGATGAAAGGTATGAACTTTTCTTTAAAGGTAGAAACACTGGTATACTTTAAAATACTCAATTATGCATTTTTACAATATAGTCTTTAGGTCATTAGAATACAAATAATAACTAGCATCATTATTATATAATTATTTATTTTACAGATAGATTAAAGCAAAAATGTTTGAATATAATAGATTTATTCCTTTTTATTTTAGAGCTACACATATATAACAGAGCGTGCATAATGTAGCTGGCTATCTGTAATAGCTGGTTTGAACAATAAAGATCAGGCCTACCAAACATTACTGTCAAAGGTTTATTATCACCAGAGGCTTTAAAAAATATAGGTTTTGTTATTGCTAAAGGAGCTAGAGGCAGGATGAGAAAATGAGACTCATGAGTGTAAAGATATGTGGGTGGGCTGATTGGTTTTGGGTTTTAACTCTTAATGTTCCATTAGCATTAGAAAAACTGGACATGCATGTTTATTCTTTCACCATTCCTGCAATCACAATTCCTGGAAATGTGTTGGAGCGTTTTTATAACTTGCCGACAGGCTGCCTGAAACAACTGTGATCACTGTGACATTTCTTAATCATTTCATTTAAATTCCATGAAATGATATGAAAAGCAATGCAGAATATTATGTTGCTTAACATTATTTGGATAATGTGTACTCTACTCTAGCATTACTTTTATTTGATTATGCAAATATGCAGATTTCAGTTTAAAATTAAAGAACATTCACCTGATCTTATAAGCGTAAATTGCAATCAGGTGTTTACTGTATTGTAAAAGAAAAGCATTTTATTATGATCACTCAATGTATTTTGAAAGGTTGCTAAACATGTCCAGGTATTTAGACATCTGTAATAAGACCTGTTTGTATCACAATATATGCCATGCTGATGTTCTGTTGCAGTTTTTGATATGTCAGGGGTGATGAGGCAGGAAAAAAAGCCAGAACAAAGAGAGATTAGAGGTCTCCAGAGCAGTGTATAAACAAATCTCACATATGCCTTGGTTCTTGGATATAAATTAAAAGATCAGTGGCTTTAGAAATTGTGAAGTGTGGCACTAAATTCTCTGCTTGTTGACATATGGTAGAGAATAAACACTAACAGGTGCACCTTCTCCCTGGGTCACCCCCTGACTGCATACCAATATTGAGCAGTCGGAGGG